AACTGCTCAGGAGTGAAGTAGCTACAGCATCTGTACAGCATTCCTAGCTTTCAGGAGGCAGCTTTAGCAATGGTGTGGCTTCCATGACATATTAGAGGAAATGGTGAGGCCTAGCATATCTATTTTAGATTTTGGCAAAATGATTGCATCCTCAAATGTAATTAGTGGGAGATCTTCTATTTTGGGATGTGTAATTCGTAAATACTGTGCTTTATTACTATTGAATTTAATCAAATTTCTACCTCCACATTCGTACGTGCTGTACAGGGGCCTCAGACCAGGGCCGGATTCAGGAGTGGGCAAAGTGGGCAGCTGCCCAGGGGCCTCCTCATATCACAATATTTTATTTATTTGTTTATTCATTTGGATTATTTTTATTTTCATTCTTTAAAATTCATGTTTATCTATCTCCATGTTCTAATTTCCTCAATATAACTGCATATGGCTTCAAAATTCTCCAAAGAAGTGTTCAACTTTCAAAATTTTCCCGGGGGGCTTACAGCACCCCCCGGAACTCCCAGATGTTTAGGCTCGCTTCACTCGCCACCCCACCCTCTTGGGTAGTTATAATAAGGGGGGCCTCCACAAAGAGGCTGCCCATGGGCCTCCACAGGTCTAAATCCGGCACTGTGTACACTACATTAGTCTTATTTAATGTAACCAGATATCAGAAGAACCTGACCTAACCTCCTATCTCCCCTGGACCTCCCGGTTGTGAAAACCTAACCTAACCAAACAAGACAAAAAAGAAACAAAGTAACCCCCTGAAAAAATAAAAACGTATAAATAAATAAATAAATTTCCGACGAAAATGCGAGTATGCGTTTGTGCACGAATATCACGTGACATCGAACAGCCCATATACACACGGACTTCCATAATCACCAGTCAGGAATCGAACCCAGGACCTCCTAGTAGTCATTTTCATCGAATCAATGATCATTGTGTTCCTACCTTTTTTTTATTGTTGATTTGTTTACCAGGAACTCTTCAAACAAGATTTAGCCCCTATGTACTGTACAGTCGCCCAAAAAAGTATCTGAAAAGTGTGGTCCGATGGATGTCAAGACGAACAGTATAATCCCTGCTGTCTTGGCACTGTTGCTTGGTCCTCTACCATTTCCCCAAAACGTACGTCCGATGTGTTATATTGTCATGAACAATATTTTTCAGATACTTTTTTGAGTGACTGTACCTTTGAAAAATGTCAGTTAACTCCGCAGGAGAGCAAATTCCGAAATGGCGCCCTGTGCTCAATGTCGCCAATGGCCGGTGATAACTTTTGAACTAGATACACTAGAATCATGAATATGGGATCATTTTCCACTATTTTGAGGTGAGAAATCTGATGGGATGGTAAGTTATTAGTTTGGGCGCCATCTTGACTTCCAAATCCAATATAGCAGCCATCGCCAAGGTTAAAATCCAATATGGTGGCCATCGCCAAGGTTAAAACGGTACTTAAATTACACACAATTTCAGGGTCTCAATTGTTTCTTTTACTGTTGACAACACAATATACATATATAAGCTTTGGGTAGAGTTCCCTTACCTTGGCTTATATATAAATAAGTTGAGGGGTTAAGTTACAAACCCAAAATGGTCTTTTTTTTCTCCATTTATTGGTAAAACTGTATTGGTCACAGTCTATTAGTAGATGTACCGTAATTAACACTGTAAGCTGTGAGTGTCAGTTAAGGACGGGGCTCAGCTTGACTGATTTAGGTCACCCGTCCTATTCTCGTGAGCTTCAAGTCAAGACTGGTGCCTGTGAGGGGAGCTCTGAAGGAGAGGCCGGGCTAAACCCTACATTCTCAAGGTCGGCTTACTGATAGAAGAATTTCCCCTCATCTGAACAGCACATGGCACCTCACAGTATCGGATTATGTAGACTCCCAGATGTTTAGGCTCGCTTCACTCGCCACCCCACCCTCTTAGGTAGTTATAATTAGGGGGGCCTCCACAAAGAGGCTGCCCATGGGCCTCCACAGGTCTAAATCCGGCACTGCCTCAGACCCAAAAGCATTTACGGGACTATATCTTTGTTTACCCTGTAACTGGAGTTGCAGTCTCTGATCGGTATACTCAAAACAAATATTTGGCAGTGGACTACTTAAGCGAGTCTGTACTCGAGGACGTAACTTGCAGGACTTCCTTAGGTGCTGTAACACGCTCAACCCGGATATCGTAAGTCGCTATTTCCTGATTGCATAAAACAAATCAATAAAATATGTTTTAATAAAGCCTCTTGAACTTGTTTTATCATAAAATAATAAAGAAAATGTTTTGTACATAAACATACTAAAATACAATACAGGTATTACAGTTTGTCTTTTTAGTTAATTTTTTACGAGAAGAAGAGGCTTGAGTGTGTTTATATTTGTCACTGAATGGAATAGATGCATCATTTGTCTTCTTACAACTTTTCAAGTAATTTGTACCAAAATAGAAGATTTGTATTGTCCACATTCATGGTACTGTACAAATATTTTTTATGACTGAGAAAACTTACAGATAGACCTTACTAATGTGGTATAGCCGTAGATATCCGTCAGTAATGGAAGCCAAATATGAGGTCAAGTGAACATTTTTGCCTAGACTTCCCCTTCTTTTTACATATTCAACATATAGCCTACGCCTTGGTATGGCTAGGACCAAGTTATAACAAGTTATTCTGCCAAGTATCCAAGAAGTACCCATGACTGAAAGTTAAATAATACCTAACCCAATATAAGTTCATCAAACTTAATAAAAGAGGGGGTAAAAATTAAGTGGTAAAGCCTTTTTTTTTTCGAAGAAAAAGAATTATGTTCGTAGGTTTTTTATCCGATACATTCAGTAGTGATTTTTTTTCGCTGCAAAATTAGTGAAATGTATCTTACCCTAACAAAACCTAACCTTACCTACTCTTACCTTACCTAATCTTACCTTACCTTATCTAACCTAACCTAACCTAACGTTACCCTACCTAACCTAAGAAAGCCGTTGCGCAACGCACATGACAAACAATTAAGCTCTCTAGAAAAATTTCCATTTCTTTTTTAAAATATACATTTGCAGAGATAACAAACTTTTTATAATCATTTCTCCAACATATCTATAAATCTAATGATGATATATAAATGTAACCTAGGATGCCACTATTATGCATTTTAACCTTTGATTATCTCTGCAAGTGGATTATAAAAAGGAAAGGTTTGCTTAGGTAAGGTAAGGTAAATTTAGGTTAGGTAAAGATTAGGTTAAGTTAAGGTTTGGTTAGGTTAAGTTAAGGCTTGGTTAGGTAAAGGTTTGGTTAGATAAAGGTTTGGTTAGATAAAGGTTTGGTTTGGTAAAGGTTTGGTTAGATAAAGGTTAGGTAAGGTAAGGTTAGGTTTGGTTTGGTTAGGGTTAGGTACATTTCACCAATTTTATGGCAAAAAAAAAAAAACCATGACTACTGATTGTAATAAACCATAAACCTATGAAAAATACTTTTTGTAAAAAAAATGTGATGCCACTTTAATGCAATTTTACTCTCTCTCACTCTTATTTTAGTCATTGGTTAACCATTGTCCTCAAGTGTTACTCAAACATAATTCCATCTTCACTAATGACGCTTGAAGTATGTCTAGCAACTATCACGTGCATCAATCGCAGTTGATTTTTCCTTTTCTTGTGATTGGTTGATGATTTTGTTAACTGAGCGATGATTGGCCAACTAGCTCATGCACTGCCATCTACCTTCGGACAAGAGAACTGAATTTACAGTATAAACAATAGAGTCACAAACTGCTTACTAATCCTGGTACCGTATCTCTGCTACTGTACGTAACTGATGAGGCGTTTTCAGTATGCGGCCAAAGGTCCGTATTGATAGATAAAACGATATCAGCACTAGAAACAGATCTAGTTTGAGAGTTGGGGTAAGGGAAAAATGAGAAGAAAAGTGAAGAGTAAAATCATCAGCATAAGAATGGATAGAATTAGTAGTAGTGTGAAGTAAATCATTGATAAAAAGAAGGAAGAGAGTAGGTGAAAGAATAGAACCCTGTGGAACACCACTATTGGTAGAGAAAGAGTGAGAGATAGATCCCTTGACAACAACTGTCATGGATCGGTTCTCAAGGAAGCTAGAAATTAGAGAACAAAGTGGGGGAGAGAAACCATAAGAGGGAAGTTTAGAAAGCAAAGACTTGTGCCATACCCTGTCAAATGCTTTGGAGATGTCGAGGGCCACGACGAAAGTTTCCCCATAATCCCTAAGAGAGGATGACCAAAGATGGGTGCAATAGGAGAGCAGATCACCAGTAGATCTTGCTTGGCAAAAGCCAAACTGGTGATTCAACCAAAAGAGAATGGTGTGTACAATCCTCCTTCATGAAGGGAGAGAAGAGTGACAGTTAATATCTCCTACAGTAGATGGTAGAGGACAAAGACAGGCCGTTCTGTATCATCATAGTCCATTTGGCCTGCCTCTACTCACTGTACTCACTAATTTTTGTATTTATTGTTTTCTCTTTATTCATAAGACAAAATCTGTGGTTACTTACACATTGCACTTTATAGTACGAAACATTCATCTCGGTGAAATAGTTGTCGGCAACCAGACTTACTTCTGATTTTCAACCCAGAGAGTTCTGTTTCATATTTTTTTATTGTTGATGTAAAAGTGTTTTAATAACCTTGTTATACACTTAAAGACCTTAGTTGTTGAAGTGCAGTAACATAGCAACAACTGATATTTTTTAAACAGTCCAGACAACCAGTGTTATCTCTACCCCCACCCTGCCATAGATTCGCTTTTTTTTATGACACACATTTTTCAGACTGGGATTTGCCCCAATTACACACACACACACACACACACACACACACACACACACACACACACACACTATTTAATTTACAGGAGAGGTTACACCTTAATCTCCCCAGTAAGAGTGCTTTATTGACAACCTAAGACAACTTACCAATACACTTACATAATTAAGCTTATTTTAGTCATATTCCCATTGCAGGTATGTTTGCTTTTTATATACTCCGTTGTTGGACTCGAAGACGGCGTCTTGGACAAGTGGAAATGGCACCTTCAAATGAACAAGTAAAGTTTATCCTTTTTGTGTTTGATTGTATTGAAAGTCTTTATGCAATTTATTGATTCCTGTACAGTATCTCACATAAAAAATTATGTTGTGAAATACCTTACAAGGCATTTGGGACGCTGCCGGTGCCTTAGCAATGGGGCTCCCATTCTCCACTCAGCGTGCTAGCTCTTGCGCACAAATTAATGTTTATTCCCTTTATGTTTTAGACCTTTTGATAGTTATTTCTTTTACTTTTATTTTTGTACATAATGTATGAAGGATTGTGTGTGCATATAACTAGTTAAAAAAAATGTGAAGAAAGTTAACTTTATTTACCTGCTCAGCCTGCAATTTCTCACTGACACACGCAGAAATGTTTATTCTCTCTAAGTTTTGACTATGATAATTTTTTTGGGGGGGGGGGTACATTTTGTATGTAGGATTGCTTGTGCACGTAAGTGGGTAAAAAAAATGAAAGTTACGTACTGTATTTTATGGCTGGGGAGGACGAGGAGACAGTAAAGTGGGGGCATAGCAAGGAAGTCGGGAGAATTAGTATCCCAGCAGAGTTGTGTTGTTATGGCGAAGCAAGAAGTAGTGTTAATGCATATGGCGGTTGTGTTAAACTTTCATTTGGCTTTTTTGCTTAATGAACTTAGCTTCATTTTTTTTCATCTAGATTGTATATAAATGTTCTTTGAAGTAACACAGTTGTTAAATAACAGAACAAATACAGTTAATATGGTTTATGAATGGTGGTTAAGAAGGTATAGAGAGTCGTGAGTTTACTTCAGCCTTTTGACTTATTGTGTGGGCCATTACTTTACTTCTGTGAAAATTTTTTTACGTTTTTTATATTTTTACTTGTTTTCGGTATTTTATATTAGTTTTGTATTTGTAACACAGTAGTTACACAAGACTCATCATTACAGCCTTATACCCTACACTTATCTCTCTCCCTACCACTCCAGGCTGAGATGTGAGCAATGTTTTGGTTATTTTTCAAGTGTAAATTTTGGGTAGGTACATATATTTATTATTTTAATATGTTACATGTACAGTACTGTATTATATCAATCTAACTTACTGCAAGAGTACAGTACATAAAAAAAATTCTAAATATTCCCTGCTGAAATGGAAATATTTTATATACCATAAATTATGTTATATTGTAGGTAGTAGGCAGCTACCAAACAGGGAGGTACTACTGCCTGGGAAGATATTGGAAGCATAATGTGTTGTCTATGGTAGACCCTGTTGCCTTATGGCATCACTAAAATTGTGACTTTCTGCCTCATTTACACAATTGCAGGGTCTCAATTGTTTCTCTTACTTTGACAACACAACATACATACTATATTGTTTCTCACTTTTTATTTTTATTTTATTTTTTGTATTTCTTTATTATTATTATTATTAATATTATTATTACAGTGTTGTTGTTATTATTATTATCGTTATTAATTTATTATTTTGAAGAAAGCGGGAACTTCACAATCTAAAGAACGACTGGCTTAAAAATAAAGCCTGTGAAGCACAAAAACTTGCAGAAAAGACGACGAAGGCCTCCTTCAGCGCCAGAAAGAGCACTACCATTCATTGCTCAACCGAAACACCGATGTGGATGTCCTGACTACCCAGCAGGTCCCTCAGTATCCAGAGCTGACGCACCTCAGTTATCCTCAGTCCCTGGATGAGGTAGCTACTGCCATCAAACAGATGAAAAATAACAGCCCCAGGGCCTGATGGAATCCCAACCGAGGTGTATAAGCAGGAGGACCTCTACTTACCAGCCGTCTCCACTCTCTCCTGGAGAATATATGGGAAAAGGAGGAAATCCCCCAAGCTCTTAAAGATGCCTCCATTGTCAATATTTATAAGAACAAGGGGGACCGGTCGGATTGTGGCAACTACCGTGGGATCTCGCTGCTCTCCGTAGCTGGCAAGATTATAGCCCGAGTCCTGAAGACATCTTGAATGACATTTTTTACCTGAGGAATATACATAGTACTACAGTGCAACCTCGAAAATTTGAATTGCATGGGCCCATGAAGTATTCAAATTTTAGATGTATGGAAGCGCCAGAGCAAATTGTTTATCAAAACATGCTACAAAAATTATTTACATATCTAAAAACTGTCAATAAGCAATAGGTATAATAAATTAAAAGTAAAACTGTATTTATATTCAACAACATTTATTCTAATATGAAACTTTAAATACGTGACTAAAAGCCTTTAGGTGAATACTACGTAAAGAGTTTCTATACAAAATATTGTACAGTACTTTTAAATTGTAATTACTATCATATACGTGTATAAAAAAAATAAAAGTAGGTTAAATATAAGAGACATCAAGAAATCATAGAATTATTAATGGTATAAACATTGGTATGCTGGCATCTGTCGTGTCACTACTCTTCTCCCCTCCTCTTTATCCCGCCTTTTTCCACACTGCCTGCAGTGTTTTACTACTGTACAATATTGCTTAATACACATCTTCAATAATACTTCCAAATATTGACCTGGTTGTAAACAATTACCATTCGGTATAATCATTGTCACTATAGTGGGGTTGGTCTGACGAGTAGGCTACCTACCCTCTGCTACGTATGCAACTCTAAAGATGATGTTGAGTTGCCATTTATGTGAAAACTTTTATCACATGTTTTAGAAATTATATAGTTAAGCTAAAATAAATTATAAATCAAATTATAATTCGACAAAGGGAAAACATTAATATTAAAAGATACTGTATAGGTAGTCCTCGACTTACGTCCACCCGCACTTACGACCGCCTCAGTCGTACCAAAATGTGGTCAAATTATGTATTTTTGAGTCCCAAAGTCAGTACACAGACAAAATTTTCATCTGTAATTCACTTTAAAATGGCTGCCAAGCTTAAAAGTGAGTGTTTTGTGGTGCTGAGAAGAAAAAGAGACCCAAATTTTCGATTTTCTATGTTTTATTTAAGCATTTTGACTTACGACCTGGATGTCGGTCCCTAACCCCGTCGTAAGTCGGGGAGTATCTGTACTGTAAGGATTGTATATTTACCTTAAATTTCTGAGCTTGAACTGTTTATTGGTCCCATGAAACATACTTTTTCTTCTTTTCCATTATAAGGGTGAAAGTTGAATATTAATAAAGTTAACCACGGAGCACTTGTGAGACGACCACCACGAGACACGGAAGGGTAAACAACGCGTGACCTAGCATGTCTTGGAAACCGGATGTGCTTGTTGTGCTCAGCATTATGATCGCATTTGAAAGCTTGAATTATTATGGCAATATTTTCAAATTCAAAACCTAAAATTTTGGCACTTATTTTTAATCAGACTCTATTCAAATTTTAGATGTATCCGAATTTTTGAGGTTTCACTGTATACTGTATTGTATATGAAGGGTACTGGCATTAATAAGCTCAGGTTATTACAGTAACGTATCTTTATTAATTAATGAAAAACAAATAAACAATATTGTTTCATGAATGAGTCAGTACAGTAGATAAACTGAGGTGACCCTTTGGGGGGAGGGGGTGTTGAGGTCACTTTTACCCCCCCAATGCTTTATTAATCAAGCAGTGAGTAGACTTGAGGGCAGATTGTCACATTTTTAATAAATTTCTTTGTACATAAGTAAAATGTACCCCCATCTATCTGGTCAGCAAATGTTATTCGCGGATTTGGCGATTCGCGGGCATTTTGAGATCCTAACCCCCGCGAATTTGAAGGGCAGACGGTTTCATCATAAATAATATAACATATATTATTAAATAATAGACAAAATACAATACATAATTTGACTAAAAATAAAATGACAATCAGTTATTAAGGGTTTACTGTAGTTGTATTTTTGCAGAAATTATTTGTTGTACAGACACTCCTAGAAACTTTTTTTTGTGTTCTTAGTTTCCAAGAAATAGTATTACAGTATATTAAGTGGTTTGTTTCATCTTTTTATTCTTGCAGAATACCCATTTTCCAAAGTTGGTTCTCCTACTGCCAGCCATGTGTGACACCCTGGCCACATCAACTATGTACTTAGGTCTCACTCTCACATATGCCAGCTCCTTCCAGATGTTAAGAGGTCAGTGAGAATGGATGACCCATATTGGCTAATAGTGAATAATAAAATTTCCCGTACAATTCTGTTCCACTTATGGTTTATGAGTGACTTGCAAAATTACTAAGCATCCCTCTGACAGACCCTACCATTACCTAGGAAGTTTGCAGTGTTTAGTGACAGACTGACAGGATACATTATCCATGTGGACAAGGTTTATGTGCAAAGCAGCTTTTTTTACTCAGTTCCATTTCTAACAAGTAACAAATCAGAATACTTGGTCACCATGAAAATACATATATATTTCTTTGATTCAACTTTATTCAACTGTTTTGAATTTGGGATTCATTTATTTTTACGTAAGGAAATTGTTGGAGCTCATTTTTTCCTCTTGTCATATGAGTTACTCCGCATTACAAGGGGGTGAAGCGCCAAATTTAAAAAGCGGAGAAAAATACGTTTGAAGTTCAAACAACCATAACTGTGTTGTTTTTAAGCTAGAGGGTTCATTTTTTTTATCGTGCAACTCAATCCCTCTCCTAGCGAACAGTGAAAACTAGAAATTAGTACTGTGAATAGCTTGTATTTTATCGCTAGTTGAATGAGAATAACTACCCGTCATGTATGGTTGTTTGATCTTCAAACCAACAATAATTGCGTGGGCTAATACTGTAAAACAAGTTAATGATCACCAAAAACGACACTCATTTTACATCCCCTCCCCCAAATACAAAGGCAGAGAAAGTTTGCATAATCTTTGGTAAAAACAGTGTTATGATAATAGTATGTCAATCTTACTTTGTTCAGTTCCTTCGTTTTATTATCCCTGACGATTGTAGTAAGTCGAAGTTACGTAAATCCTGAGGCTTGTGTGTAACTTTAATGGCCATCACCAATACCAGTAGCACTTGCATCACCATAATCACCAATAAATTCAGCACGAAAATCACTTATCACCAAGCATGGTTGGGGTGTCCACGTGAGCACTGTCATCACTAGACACACACTCAGGATTTAGGACTCCTGAACCCACACCAGAAGGCCTGGCCTCACTCGAATCTTGCTCTAAAATCGGCCAGACATTGCGTAGCATTTCTCACACCCGTGGAACACGAATAACGCCAATGTTATGCCAAAAAGTTATCCAAAATAGCAGTAGAAACACTGAACCGCCTTATGCTACCCAGGGAGGCAGCATCTGGGTGCGCGGATTACCTGAGGAGCTGTGATGTAGCAAGGAAAATCCATTGTGATTGGCTGACTCAGGGCGTATGGTCCGCGGGACGCGCGCTGTCATTAGCTTGCACTCCTCTCACTGAACAGGATGTGACCACCTTACTTACTGAGCACACAGCCAGATATGTAGCTCCCGGCCTGAGGCGAAATGACACCCTATTTTTGAAGGACTTTCAACCATATTTCTAGTCTACCTAGGGGGTTACATCCAGCGCCAACATGTAGAGAAGAGGTGAAAATAGTGATATCTATAAAAAACATTTTGCCCGGGGTGGTGCTTTAGCCCCTTGTAATGCGGAGCCTCCGCCTCATTTTCTTTGCTGGAAAAACTGAGTTGTCCTGGTGATATATTCTGTGGAAGTAATGTCTTGGAATTAAAATTTGCAGTAATCAAGAAGAAAATAACCTTATAAACTTCAGGAATCTATTGTACTTTATAGTATTGTTGGAAATAATTATACAGGCATCCCCCGGGTTACAGAGGGATTTTGTTCCTGAAAATCTCTCTTTAATGCGAAACAATTTTTCCCATATACATTACTGTACTTCCATTATAAAAGTTGAGATGTGTGCCTAAGGAAATATTTTGAGGCCCAAAAATGTGAAACAAGCAGATACATGTGTAAAATTGGACAGTTTTAACCACTCAAATTTTACTTACCAGAAATGATGAGGAGTGCTGCAGGAGGTGTTGAGGTGAGGTTGAGGGATCAGAGTTAGTGGAAGTTACCTTCTTAAAACATCAAGTTTAATGTCCAATGCAATTCCTTTGTGGAATCGTTTATCACCACTTCTTTCGCTTGAACTTGATGGTCTTTTTCCAATCATCTAGAATAAGGGTCAACAATAACACTGATGCACAACTGAACGCAAACTGGGGAAAGAATTCTAACAGCAGCTCCATTGTTGTGGTGAATGCTGGCAGCTTGGGAGGTGAGCGGTCTTCCAACTGCTTTGTGGCCACCACAGATGCATTCACACATAATGTTTTTAACTATTTTTTTAAAATTTAAGATTAAAAATTATGATTTTTTCTGTAACCTGAAATTAAGGTATAAATTTTTTAATTCTGTAATTCGGGAATCGGTGAACATAATACCAATAAATAAGTTACAACGAAAAATTCTGAATTGTCAAATAGGTAAATAAAAGCCGAATGAAAGTTTAACAGTCGCCATTTGCATACACTCCCTGTTTCACCATAGTAATGATAACCAGTTGGGAAGCCGAATCCCTAGCAAGTAACGCTCCCCACCCCCTACACTCTGCACCCTCCTCCCCTCCCTCACAGAGCCAGCAAACTTTTATGTAAAGAAATGTATATTCCCTTTACGTGTTTGCCCTGAGGGCAATTCTTTCTTTTACTTTTTTTACAATATGTATGTAGGATGGTGTGTGCATGTAACTGAGTAAAAATAAACGAAGAAAGTTATGTATATCTACCCGAAAATACGAGTTGAAAAACAACCAAAACTCCTCACAACTTGGGGCAGTAGCCTGGTGGTTACAGTGACGTGTCTAACTTGGTTACAATGCCATGATTAATCACTATTAAACACTATTATATCAGTAAACACTAATAATAACAATAAATCCAGTGAAATATGGCAGGGAGGGAGGAGAGTTACAAGAACAGGTTGTGGTCAACTAGCGGCCACTCGACTCACTCACTCCCGTTACTCACACCCTTTGCCAGGCGTAAAATCAAATAAGTATGGGAGAATACATATATTGTTGACTAATTTGAAAACGGTGATGGGCACAGTGATAAACAAATTATATAAACCATGCATTTGCCTATGATAACATAATAAGAAACAGTGTATCATTACTAGAGTCTTCTCCGTGCTTTGCTATTAAAGTCAGCTGTAATAACAAAGCACATAGTTGACTTGAGGGTAGACTCTTACATTGTAATACATTTATTTGTCTTGCTTCTGATTATTTGTGAGAGTATTTTCCTATTATTATTTATTTGTGAGATTTATGTGTGTCTGTGTATCTACACACACACACACACACACACATATATATATATATATATATATATATATATATATATATATATATATATATATATATATATATATATATATATATATATATATATATATATATATATATATATATATATATATATATATATATATATATATATATATATATATATATATATATATATATATATATATATATATATATATATATATATATATATATATATATATATATATATATATATATATATATATATATATATATATATATATATATATATATATACATCACACACAGTGAACCTCACTTTACGCGGTCAATTGAACCCACGGCGGCCCGCGTAAAGTGAACAACATAACATATGGGATTAATTGAAATAGAGACCGGGCCGACCCCCAAACTCCACTTTTTCAGACACAATACCTACGTTGTAGTAAAAATAACTTCTTAATTTTATGATGGTATGCACACACAATTAATAATTAAGAGAAATATCAATAACATTAGGTTTTTTAACATTTACATTAGTAGAAAAGATGGCTGGGCACACGGGGATGGGGGGTTGGTTCCGAGGCAGAGGGCAGATTATTGGCCCTCACCTGTATCACTTGTATCAATTGTATCACTATCCACCACAGAGGCTTGCAGGGCCTCTTTGTCAAACCCCTCAAAGTTCATATGAGTCCATATCCTCACTATCATTATCACTATCACTGACTTGGGCCGGCTGTGGTGGGTGGCGGGTGAAGAACTCGGTAATGTTTTGATGACTGGGCGACCTTGTGCGCACCCTGCTCTCGCCGCTCTCCGCGTAAAAGGGTACACACACCGCGGAAAGTGAGCATTCCGGTTTCGGCAGGGTACCGCGTAAACGTGGAAACGCGTAAAGTGGGACCGCGTAAAGCAAGGGTTGACTGTATATATATAAAGAAGTAATTGTCCAAAGGGCAAACACATAAAGGGAATATACACTTCTTTGTACACAAGTAAAAATGTGGGCCCCCCCCCCCTTGGTTAGCAAATGTTATTCGTGGATATGGCTATTCGCGGCCATTTTGAGAACCTACCCCGTGAATTTTAAGGGCATGCTGTATATGCAGTAGGCTCTCGCCAATAACATCTAATGGATGCCTGAAAAACGCCGTTATCAGTCAAACCTTTATTTGTGTGACATTAAAATACATGTAAAAAGGGTTTATTGGCGCTGCCGCCTAAGAATTTCACCTATTTTTTCCCCGTAGAAGCCCTCCTAACACTTTTTGTTAGCTGAAATAAAAAGAATTGTTATTCAATCATCAAAATAAAGAGTTTGAGTAATATAACACCTAGCTTGGGGGAGTTTTTGGGGTGCTTGGTGTGATGATTGTTCTGAGGCTGGGGAATGGAGGCTACAGCGTCAAATCTCCGCCCACTTCCCTGGCCCCATCTCCGCCGCCGTCCCCATGCTGGCCTCTTGCACCTGGTTCACCCACTTCTGCTAACACTTCTTCAAACCCCGCAAAGTCAAAATCTTCAGGCATTTCCCCAGTGTCATCAATGTCTTCATCATCTTTCTATCACTTTTATCATTCATAGTTCATAGCTCGCCTCGCATTTCCATCACTGCTGAAATATTTCTTAGCCGGCGCAATACTCTTCTTGGTCTCCTCTAAGTTCCTCTTAATATTTAGCACTGTAGACTCAGGACAGTTCAATTTCCTCACAATATCAATGTTCCGTGCACCACTTTCAATGAGTTCAACAATCTGTTCTTTATCCTTGATTGAGTACGCACGCTTCTTGTGGCTTTGTCTCCTAGCTTTGGGGTCTTTTTTCTCATTCACTTTAAAAGTTCCGAGCGTTCACGCGGCAAATCACTCCCTCCACCACCTACCCTAACCCCCACAGGCAAAAACGTTGAAGCCATTGTTGATCATAGACCCTAGCAACCACTGGTTATAGAGGCGAAAATCTCACACGTGGGCGCAGCGTTGTATTCCACGGAGCGTATGTGAGAGTGAGGCGGAGCGTACAACTACGTCATCAACATGGCGGCAAACAAACGCTATCATTGATGCGCACGGACGCTTCCCGCAAAATCTCCGTTTCATATTCAAGAGAATCCAGACGATATTGTCGAAAATGGGTATCTATTGTAACTTACCGTTATTGTGGAAGTCGTTATTGGCGAGAGCCTACTGTATATATCATAAATGTTTGACAAAAGCATTCAAATTGGTGACACTTTTGTGCAAAATAAAAAGATAAGAATTGCAAATGTGCAAGAGATTTTCTGTACTGTACTCAAATTTTCTTTTTTCTAGGTGCTGTTATTGTGTTTACTGGACTTTTGTCAGTTGCCTTCTTGGGACGTAAAATGAGATACTTCCAGTGGATAGGTATCTTTGTTGTCATCGCTGGTCTTGTTATTGTGGGAGTCTCTGATTTTATAGGAGGCAATGAAACTAGCGGATACACCACCAATGGCATTATTACAGGTATGTAAAAAGTACTTTTGTAATTTTATACTTTAAAATGTATTCATTAATGCTTCCATCCATGGAAATATGGGAAATAGACATTGGGCTGAAGCCGGCTTTGGCTTCTGGAAGCCCTATTTTCTTGGCCTGGCTTCGGTGCCACAGACCTGGTTTTTTATTTTCTTCTTTACACAGACCCACTGACCATAATGTGCTGTCACAGCTGAACTGATCTCTGACTTTTCTGTCCCCACAATGACCTGACTTAAGAGAGCCCAGGTGCATGCTACAGCCTTAGTGACATCACAGCTGATCCCACCTATTGGTTTATTCTCATTTTGGACAAGTACCACCTCTGCCTCCCTGCCTTCTCAGCCCCAGATGCTGTTGGCTGACCGACAGCACCTTCGAAAATCTGAAGATCATTTGTTACAATGAATGAATGAATAAAATTAATCGTGATGAATAATGAATGAAATAAAACAATGAAGAAAATAAAATTTGTAAATTAAATTGTTACTACGGTATTAGCAACCTTTTCAGTCTAATAAGAGTCAAAACTTAACCCATTAACAATTACGGTAACTTCTCAAACCCTTGTTGCAACTTAGAATATAATAAGTATTGCCATCAACATGTAAGGTAGGAATCTCTCATTCCCTGAAGTGCTCTGTACCAATTGTTCTGGCTAATGGAGATATCACATTTTCATTTTTTAATAATTTTTTGGCAAATAATTTTGTCTGGCTTAGCCATAACACTAACACTTTGTCATAAAGAGGTCCAGTAAGCCTGGGCTAGATTTATGCTGATGTAAGTGTTATTGGTACCACTAATAGTACATTTTATGCATTATGCCTTTTTTTTAACCTCGGCTTCGATGTTTCGGAATTTTTGCTAATTTGGAACCGGTCTGGTTCCAAGCCTCCTGGATTAGTGAGGTCCAACCTGTACAATTTTATTGCTTAATATTGTGAATACATAAGATATAATTATGATGACAATCATAATTTCTTCTAAAATGATCATGGATAAAGTAATAAGAACAACAGTTTGATATGAAATTCAGCTTACTGAATATCAACAACTTTTTACAGCTGTGTGATAATTTTCACTGTATAATGTTATATGATATATTGTAATGTTGAGGCACAGTACCAATAAATGTGTGAAGTAACTTTTAGAGATCATTAACTGATAATAGTAGACATTCTGGGAATATGTGACATTTACAGAGTTGGCAGAAAGGGACTAGACAAAATGGGAATTTGGCAGGAAACCAAATAAGAATAGATGAAATAGGCAAAAGTGATAAAGTTTCATGTAGCCTTGAAAAATCTTGGCTCTGGTTTCAGCTTCATGACTTTAATTGGCTGGCTTCAGCTTAGTGACTTTCCAATGGCTTCGACTTTGGCTGCGAAGCTGAAGGCTTGTCTTCAGCCCCATGCCTGGTTGGAATTGATAAACAGTACTGTATAATAATACAGTGGTCCCCAACCTCTTGTAGGCTCTGGGCCACATTTATCATTGTAAATATTGTGGAGGGAGCCAAAAAACTTTGGATCTACATTCAAGAAAAATAATCTCATTTATGCTGTACAGTTAGTTATTTACAGTTTTACATGTCTGACTGTTACCAGTTACATACTTTTTACATTTACTCTTGGACAGTACGTGTGTATTTACCCCATTGAGAAGGTCGGCTCTCTCTCTGGGCCCAGTCTGGGGTAAATACACATGTGCTGTACATGACAGACTCGGGACAAACTTGCAGTCCCCCCCCCCCGCTCTCTCTCTCTCTCTCAAACTATAAAGTTGCATCAAGTTATTACACATTTTCATTAATTTCGCTCTTGCAAAGAATCCCATGTAATTCACAATTTACCAATAAACCCTTGTGGGCTCCATAATATGGTTCCGCAGGCACCATGGCACCCATGAACTACAGGTTGGCAACCACTGATATAATACATAAATGCAAGTTAGTTGAGTGCTTTTATATTTGTAGGAATGTTTTCAATACTGCTTGCCTGTATGTGTACCAATGAATACAGTAGGGTCGGGATATATCGCGAGGTAGGGTCCAAGGATGTTCTCTATATACTAAATCAAGATATATAATTACATGTAATCAATGTGGAACATAGGGTTAGGTTCTGGAGGCCAATAAAAGTGACTAAACTTGACATAAAATGGCACAGTCTAAAGTTAGCAGAATATAAACTGCATTGCTGGAATCCTTGTAAGACAGTGAATAATTTGAATATAGACATCATATATTTTGCACAAGAGGTAAAAAAATTTCAACTCATATTTTTGGGGCGATTTGGGGGATTTTTATGAGTGTTTCTGACTTTATGCGGTTTTTGGCTTTATGTGAGGTCCCAAGAACATAACCCCATGTAAGTTGAGAGTTTACTGTAAATAAATTTATCGCTATACAATATATTGGAAAATGTCTATAATTTTGGTAGCTACGATATAAAAAAATCATTATGTAAAGTCACTATACAGTATATCCCGACCCTACTGCACTTGGTAGTCATATATATATAACTCATGTGCATTTAGCAATATCCAATTCTTTCATGTACAGTGATATCCCCGTTAGCTGGAACAATTGGTGCAGAGCACTTCCGGGAATGAGAGATTTCCGGGTAACGAGACGACTCTCTCGCGGGAAAAAAATCCCTCATCCCCGGAATTTTCTGGGTAATGGAAAAATGTTCTCGGAAGTTCCAGAAATTGCCCATTACATCATCTCTCGAACCCGGAAAAAAATAAACCCATCCCCAGAATTTTCCGGAATTTCATGGTATCTGGAAAAATATCGTAATTTTCCGGAAAATGGGCCCCTCGGAAAATCGTTCCCAAAGCCATAATTTTCTGGAAAATTCCAGCTTTGGGAAAGATTTTCCGAGAAAATTTCAATTTTGGCTATTGGAGAGTTCCTGTTTTGAGGGATTCCGGCTAACGGAGATATTACTGTATTTTCAGTTATTCCTACACTGCCTTTCAATCTACTCCATGATATGCTTTTTTTAGTTCCTTAGATATTGTAATACAATCAAAATCTTCCCCTTTTTCAAAAATAGTCCACACACTTTCTCTAATGACGAACCATAATTCATAGTCCTTCTTGGTCTTCCTTACACACTGTATTTGCAACAAGTTTCGATTATAAATACCATACACTTTCGCCAGTACAGTATACTCTATAGCTTTATTCTTTCATCATATTTACAGTACATTGATTTTAAATCCTTTTCCCCTTATACTGTATATGGAAACTCATGCCTGCTTGCTGCCATTTCTTGGTCGCCCTTCCCTTTTGTATTCATAGCTTGTAGTCTTATGCATACCTTGTACACTCTTGTCCTCCATTCTGTCACTGTTCTATTTCCCATCCTTAATATTCTAACCCCTTGCGTACAGGGTCACCTCTGAGCTCAATAAAATTGTGTGGCATTAGCTAAATAATAGATATTACTTTTTCCTAGTTTGCTTTGACACTGCTATCAACCATTTTCTAAATAGGAGAATTCTGTATCTTTCTCAACTATTACATATTGAAGTTGTTAAAAATATTCTCCCCTTCTCCTTATTATTTTCTTGTTTTGCATTATACTGTATACAGTATCCCATTTTTCATTCAAAAGTACCAATTTCAACTTTACTGGTGATTTGAACTAAAAACTGAAGTTACTGTAAATGGTTATGGCTAATGTTTTCTCCATCTTGCAGGGGATCTTCTGATCATCGCAGCTCAGGTTGTGACAGCTACTCAGATGGTGCTAGAGGAGAAGTTTGTGACTAAGCTTAATGTTCCTCCACTGCTGGTTGTAGGATGGGAAGGTATGACAAGTTAGAATTGTAAGGGAAGAGAATCATTGAAAATAAAGGATCCTGACATCCTTTTTTATGATTTTAGATGACCTGGATGTTTTACACATATGTAGTGATCTTGTCTGTAGAACTGTCACCTTCACATATATTTACCTGTAATGGCTAGACTACTTTTAGGTATCTTTCCAATGCAAACATGGATCCATTATTCCTATAAAGAAAATTCTCTGAATGATTTGTGTGTTTCCATTCACAGCAGAAAGACTAGTAGCTCTCCACTTCATCCCCAAAAATGAAATATATGATTTAATTATTCACTAAGATTCCATGCTAGCCATTACTACAGCTCAGTTTATATATGATAATCTAAGAATTTGAGTTAGTTCTAACACAAGTTTATGAAGTGTGGACTTTGGACCAAAAGTATGACTCATATACAGTATAGTCTTCATTTACGCGGTCAATTGAACCCGTGGAGGTCCGCGTAAAACGAGAAACACGTAAACTTAATAACAGAACATATGGTATGCACACACACATAATATAGAAGAGAAATATCAATAAGAGAATAATATACTGTACCAGGTAAAAGAAAAATCAAGGTTTAACACTTATGTTAGTAGAAGAGACGGGTCGGCATACTGGAATGGCGGCTGGTTTCGAGGCAGAGGGCAGATTAGTTGCCCTCCGGTGAATCACTATCACTATTCACAAAGGTTTGCAGGGCCTCTCTGACAAACTCCTCAAAGTCCATATCGTTACTGTCACTATCACTGACTTGGGCTGGCTGTGGTGGGTTGCGGGTGAGACTAGCATTGATGTTGTCGTGATACATCTGGACATACGGCTCCATAATTTTCGACAGAAGGTTATTAGACACTTCATGCCGATGCTTGACTGTGTCTTTGTCAAGGATGAGATTGATTTTCTCCCCCAACTCGATGACTTCCTTCACATAATCATGGCTTGGTCCAGGTTCAAGGTTTTTCTGGGGTGGTGGGGGTCCAGCGGAAGCCATTGTGAGGGAAATAGCAGGCACAAGAGAGAACTGTATACGCGGAGAACTGAGAACAATGAGAGTGGCCCGGCTAGGTCAGCGACTCCTTCCCTCTGGTGGCAGGGCACGTCATGTTACATTAAACCAATCACAGCTAGCGGTGGAGGGAGGTAAGGATGCGTGACCCAATCACAGTCCGATACGTCATATGACGTCAGCGATAACGTAAGAGCGACCTAATGCGCACCCCTCACCACGCCGCTTCCCGCGTATGGTCAAGAATGGACCGCGTGAGTACAAAATGGGGCGGCGCGTCTGGACCTCTCCAGCCGCTCGCCGCGTAAATGATGAAATTTACTGCGTAATTAAAACATTTCATTCTGGCAAAGCACCGCGTAAATGACCAAACGCGTAAACAAAATCCGCGTAAATCGAGACTATACTGTACAGTATATGGCCACGAGTCAGTGTTCTTAATGCTTCCTGACATTCATACCCCAGCCACACCTCTACATTCCCTAGCTTCTTTTGTCTCAGCAGGGTGCATAATGCTGGAATGTGAACAGGCCAGGTTGTGAGTGATGTGTTTGGTTGTACAAGTCTTGCCTGAGGTGTCCACTAGTCGAGAATTTCTCACCCCAGCAACCCACTGTAGATTTATTAATGCCCAACCATATAAATACTGCAGTTTGTAATCAACAGCCTTGGTAAATTATTTTAAGATTGTAATTAGAATATTGTACTTCCATATGTGGCTGTGTCCTCTCTTACCTGCCCCTTTCCTTCCCCCTTTTCCTGGCCCTCCACTGCTTTTGTGAAGAAGTTAATGTGGTACCTTTAGGCCTGATTGCTCATTAGGAACAATGCAGATATAGAGCACTTTAGGAAGCACTCAATTGCCTTCACTTCCCCAACAGTAAGGTTAGCTACCCATTTACTGAGCTATACTCAAAAGTTCTCCCCTTCTTTACTTGTATGCAGGGTTTGGCCTAAAACTTCTAAAAGGATAGTCAAGTTTCTTTTTCAGGAGTGCTCAATTGTCATCCCTCTGGAAAGTATATCAAATCTATATGTAATATTTCCATTTAGGAGTTTCTCTGTACAGGGGTACTCCTTTATGCCCTGTCATAAGGCATACAAGAATTCTTCAGGCAATCTGGCAGTTGATTCACTATGGCTGGGTGATCCAATGAGGGCAATTGGATTATTGCAAACTACAGTAATACCTCAATACACTGGACTAATTGGGCCAGACCCCAGTCTAGAAAAAGCAAAAGTCCCCAAAAAAGCAAATTTATGGGGTAGTCTGGACAGACCCTTCTTATAAGACTGGTTGTCGACAACTGTTTTCACTGATATGACTGTTTCGTACTGTAAAGTGTTATATGTAAGTAACCAAAGAATTTGCCTTATGAATAAAGAAAAAACCGATTACCGTACAGTATTATAAAGATGATGATAAGAAAAAATATGAGTGAAAGGGTATATTGTGTGTTGGAGATGAAAGTGTATTTGGGAGTAGTGCTGGTGGGTGGCTCCCTGCCCCTCCCTCCCCCAGAACCCCTTAACACGTCTTCATACAATTTCACCATATTTCCCATATTATTTAGGTTCATTAATTTTCCCCAAAAGAATCCCATACTCAACCCCAGATGAGTCATTGGGTCATTAAATTCCAAGTCGTTTAGTTACAAGGCGTTAATGGCTGGTCTCCTTCACCATCTCTCCTGCTTACCACAACATCTGTCTTCAGCACTTAATAAAGAATATTGTAGTGTATTTATCAGCACTTAGTAAATACAGTAAGTCCTCGTTTAACGTCGTCCCGCTTAACGTTATTTCGGTACGTCGCTAAACTATAGACGTCGCTAAACTATAGAGACCAAAAATTCATTTAACGTCCCGGTGATTCGGTACAACGCCGTTTTGCGTCATGGACTACTTTTTATGGCACATCACCCTCTGTCGTCTGGCCGCGCTACTCTCTCTCGGCTCAGCGCGCTACTTTCACTCAAGTAACGTCACAGCGTCCCCAAGCGACACCAATCCAGTCTCTCTTATGACATCACATCATTCGTGTGTGCTTAAGTGTTTTTGCTCTAAAACTGTACTCTAATCCTTCTAAATGGCTTCGAAGTGCCCATTAAGTGCTACTGATGCTAGTGTAGTGAAGAGGCAACGTAAGACCATTACCCTGGCTACGAAAATGGATGTATTAGCCCATTTTGAAAAAGGGGAACGTGCTGTGGACATAGCCGCTGTGCTTGGTCTAACCCCCACAACGGTGCATACTATCCGGACCAACGCTGACAAGATTAAGGTTAGTCTTGGAAGTGGTACTACTCTCAGTGCAACTAAAACAACTTGTACTAGAAGTACTGTGATAAAAAAAGGGGAAAAGATGCTGTCTATGTGGATGTAGGACCAGAATCAACGCAATGTACCTGTGAGCCTTATGGTTATCCAGCATAAGGCCAGATCCTTGTTTGACGACATAAAGAAAACAGAAGGTGAAGGATCGAAGGAAGAGAACTTTACGGCCAGCCACGGCTGGTTTCAACAATTTAAGCATCGTTATAACTTCCACAACATAAAAATTACTGGTGAAGCTGCCAGTTCAGATACAATTGCAGATACAGTTGCTGCCGAGACATTCCCGCCTGAATTCAAGCAGATTATCCAGGAAGGAAGCTACTCATCGAAGCAAGTCTTCAGTGTGGATGAGACTGATCTCATTTTGGAAGAGGATGCCTGAGAGGACCTATATCTCCAAGGAGGAGAAAAGAGTGCCAGGTTTTAAAGCAGCAAAAGACTGCTTGACGCTGCTGTTTGGCGCGAATGCTGCCGTTGACTTCAAGCTGAAGCCAATGCTGATTTCTCGCGCTGCCAAGCGTAAAAGTGAGAGTTCTCGTGGTGCTGAGAAGGAAAAAAAAAGACATTCAGAAATTTATGTAAATCTACCCAAAAATACAGTTGAAAAAATTTTGCATTATTAAAATTTGTACTATGTACTAAAATAAAAGGGCATGTTGTATTGAAGGTGATGTCCTACTTTATCATTCTCTCCCTCCTCCCTCCTCCCTCCCACTATATAGTAACATAACAAAAACATTCATTATGAGAGAAAGACTATATTTCTCCAGTAACCATTTAGAACAAGTTTATAGGCATCGGTCATCAACATAGTGAGAGATGCACGTGTTGGCAGGCCTGCTGAATTTAAGAATTTTCTGTTATCCCACAGAAATTTCCATTAGCCTGCAATTGTTTTCAAAATTTGTGGGGATATCTTTTAAAACTCTTAATGGCAGAAACAGTGGCTAAAACATCAGCCATAAGGCTGACTGAGGGTAGGAATGATGACTCAATGTGGATTCAACGTTACAACACTGGTGAAGAACAGTCTCAATTTATGCTTACATTCCTTAATTAATACTTATTATGCTTGTTATATATGTCTGCTATTTTTTTTCTTGCTTGACTGTTTGAATGACAGTGATATATCAAGGGTAGATTGGAGTTTTTGGGGGTTGGCTGTTCCCCTATCCTCCCGAATTTGTTATATTCATATGAGATTTATTTCTGCATAAACCGTTGATTCCCTGTCTGTTGTTTTGTCGCAGTTCACATATGCGTTAGTTATCGAGGTATAACTGTACGGGTATTGTACTGTTAAATAAAAAAAAATGTGGCAACTTGGCAGTGGGCGGCTAGTCAGTCGCACGAACTATGATTGGAGAAATTTACTTTGCTTATACTGTACATAAATATTTATGGCACTTGATGCAGCTACTGAATTTTGGTATTTTAAAACATACAGTATGAGAACAATACAGTATAGGATTTTATTTATTATAAATACCCAAATTCCAAGTGTATCAAGTGCCATAAATATTTGTAAGCAGGGTAATTGAGCACTCACGACCCAGCCACACAGTTCATGAACTTAGCCAGCCAAGACGTTAAAACCACCACTCCACCCTCTGACAGACTGACATTTATTGAGTTATATGCCTGAAAGGTAGTATAGTTAGCCATTAAACAAGCAGGAACAGAATGATAGTGGTGGTGATACACAACCCTTGCATATAGTTGTGTTAGAAGATAGTTATATAATATTTTTCTCCTGCGGATGAGGGACCCCAACTGTGCTTCGGGGTCAACCATACAAGTGAACTGCCCCTCAAGCACAGTAAAATGATCATAGTCTCTTTGGACTATGTTGGTATAGAACAGACCGAGTCTGTTATTATTCTGGATACGTATATAACGGACTTTCGGCTTTAATGGTCCGGCCTTCTCCCTAGTTAGTCCGTTACATCGGGGATTTACTGTATAAATAAAAAAATAAAAAAGTATGATATAAGATATACTGTATACAGTATATTTCACGTCTTGTTTCTGAGTCCTAATTATAATAATAATTCAGGTGCATCTCTACTTAGGAATTTTCAGAAATACAAACAAAACTCTCTAAATAACCAATTGACCGTTCGAGCCATCTACAAAATTAATATAAACAGTTTAGTCATTAAACTGCTGTTAAGACTGGTAAGATGTACTGTAGAGTAATGTGCTGTATTTATTCTTGGGGTATAGCTGACATAGCTGAACTTGTACATGTTTTATTTGTATTTTTTTTTTTTTTTTTTTTACAATACTTTAGGTATCTACAAGAGTAAAGTTGGACTTACGAACAAACCTCGGGAATATAATTTATTCGTAAGCAGAGGAGCACCTGTATTAATTAGAGAGGAATACTTCTAACCATATCCTTTCTCACTTTCAAAGCCATCTTGTTCAATATGACTCATTAATTTATAGTTAAGTTGAAGACTTTTGTATAATGTAAGCTTCTTTCAGGGCTGTTTGGCTTTACTATTATGACAATTCTTCTGGTGCCCTTCAACTGGATCCAAGTTGGTGCTTTTAGTGGCAACCCTCGTCATGTGTTGGAGGATATTCCTGATGCATTTACCCAGCTGGGCAACAATCCTACTCTGATTGCCCCAATTGTAGGTAAGTTGTCTTCTTAACATGTTGAGTACCAAGATGATGGGGAATGAATAAGAGAACTTTGAATAATATAGATTTAATCTCATTAAGTAAGACCTTGGTTATGGTGACTGTGACCTTGGTTATGGTGACTGACCTCGTTTATTGTGACTGTGACCTCGTTTATTGTAACTGACCTTGGTTTTTATAACTGACCTTGGTTATTGTAACTGTGACCCTGGTTATGTATGTGGTAACTTCAATATCTTTTGAAGCACTATACAGTACTTTGAATGTGTGATATGACAGATCCAACATGGAAAGATAATAAAGTTTAAGATACAGTAGATAGAAAAGTTGATCCTACAGTTCAGTCAGACATGCTGAATATCTGAAAAATATAAGCACTTTGATCATTTTGTTTTCATTTTTTACATATTCATACACATAAATGTTAATGTCTCTTTTCAGGCAACATCGTCAGTATAGCATTTTTCAACTTTGCTGGTGTTAGTGTAACAAAGGAGTTGTCAGCCACCACCCGCATGGTACTTGACTCTGTGCGAACCTTCATCATCTGGATCATTGCTCTTCTTATACCATGGCAGAAATTCCAATACTTGCAGGTAAAGATTTCTGTATATTTTTCAAGAAAAGTGCAAACATAAGTTATAGTGCTATTTAGAGAAAAGGCTACTCATCATATGCGATTGTAAGCACACCTCAAAGGCATACACCATCACAGCAGCCTCACACACACACCCTCACAGACATACACCATCACAGCAGCCTCACACACACACCCTCACAGACATACACCATCACAGCAGCCTCACACACACACCCTCACAGACATACACCATCACAGCAGCCTCACACACATACACCATCACAGACATACACCATCACAGCAGCCTCACACACATACACCATCAGACATACACCATCATAGACATACACCATCACAGCAGCCTCACACACACATACACCCTCACAGACATACACCCTCACAGACATACACCATCACAGCAGCCTCACACACACACACCATCACAGACATACACCATCACAGCAGCCTCACACACACACCCATCACAGACATACACCATCACAGCAGCCTCACACACACACCCTCACAGACATACACCATCACAGCAGCCCCACACACACACACCAACACAGACATACACCATCACAGCAGCCTCACACACACACCCTCACAGACATACACCATCACAGCAGCCTCACACACACACCTCACATACATACACCATCACAGCAGCCTCACACACACACCATCACATACATACACCATCACAGCAGCCTCACACACACACCATCACATACATACACCATCACAGCAGCCTCACACACACACCCTCACAGACATACACCATCACAGCAGCCTCACACACACACCCTCACAGACATACACCATCACAGCAGCCTCACACACACACACCATCACAGACATACACCATCACAGCAGCCTCACACACACACCCTCACAGACATACACCATCACAGCAGCCTCACACACATACACCTCACAGACATACACCATCACAGCAGCCTCACACACACCATCACAGACATACACCATCACAGCAGCCTCACACACACACCATCACAGACATACACCATCACAGCAGCCTCACACACACACCATCACAGACATACACCATCACAGCAGCCTCCACACCCTCACAGACATACACCATCACAGCAGCCTCACACACACCCTCACAGACATACACCATCACAGCAGCCTCACACACATCACCATCACAGACATACACCATCACAGCAGCCTCACACACACACCACCTCCAGACATACACCATCACAGCAGCCTCACACACACACCATCACAGACATACACCATCACAGCAGCCTCACACACATACACCATCACAGACATACACCATCACAGCAGCCTCACACACACACCATCACAGACATACACACCATCACAGCAGCCTCACACACACCATCACAGACATACACCATCACAGCAGCCTCACACATACACCATCACAGACATACACCATCACAGCAGCCTCACACACACACCCTCACAGACATACACCATCACAGCAGCCTCACACACATACACCATCACAGACATACACCATCACAGCAGCCTCACACACACACCCTCACACCCTCACAGACATACACCATCACAGCAGCCTCACACACACACCATCACAGACATACACCATCACAGCAGCCTCACACACACCATCACAGACATACACCATCACAGCAGCCTCACACATACACCATCACAGACATACACCATCACAGCAGCCTCACACACACCCTCACAGACATACACCATCACAGCAGCCTCCACACACACATCACAGCAGCCTGCACACACATACACCATCACAGACATACACCATCACAGCAGCCTCACACACACCATCACAGACATACACCATCACAGCAGCCTCACACACACCATCACAGACATACACCATCACAGCAGCCTCACACACACACACACACACCCTCACAGACATACACCATCACAGCAGCCTCACACACACACACCCTCACATACATACACCATCACAGCAGCCTCACACACACACCATCACAGACATACACCATCACAGCAGCCTCACACACATACACCATCACAGACATAGACCATCACAGCAGCCTCACACACACACACCATCACAGACATACACCATCACAGCAGCCTCACACACACACCCTCACATACATACAGCATCACAGCAGCCTCACACACACACCTACAGACATACACCATCACAGCAGCCTCACACACACACCCTCACAGACATACACCATCACAGCAGCACACACACACCTCACATACATACACCATCACAGCAGCTCACACACACCCTCACAGACATACACCATCACAGCAGCCTCACACACACACCCTCACAGACATACCATCACAGACTCACACACCATCACAGACATATACACCATCACAGACATACACCATCACAGACATACACCATCACAGACATACACCATCATAGACATACACATCATAGAGCATACACCATCACGACATACACCATCACAGACATGGTGTTGGAGGGTGTGTGTTAGTGGTGTTGGAGGTGTGTGTGTTGGTGGTGGGAGGGTGTGTGTTAGTGGGTGGAGGAGGGTGTGTGTTGGTGTGTGTGGAGGTGTGTGTTAGTGGTGAGAGGTGTGTGTTGGTGGTGTTGGAGGGTGTGTGTTGGTGTGTGTTGGAGGTGTGTGTTGTGGTGTTAAGTGTGTGTTGGATGGTGTGTGTTGGGGTGTGTTGAAGGTGTGTGTTGGTGGTGTTGGAGGTGTGTGTTGGTGTGGAGGGTGTGTGTTGGTGGTGTTGGATGGTGTGTGTTGGTGGTGTTGTGTGTTGGTGGTGTTGGAGGGTTCAACTTAAGAACGTCCTTAGAACCGGAACTCGTACGTAACCCGTGAACTGCCTGTAATTCATATTCTATTCTTATAATTCATTCATCTTAATCTATTTCATAATATATTCCTATAATAATAATCGATTGTTTGGAACCATTTGGGTATTTCAGATTCATTCTGAATTGAAATAATTTAATTCATTTAAAAATAAAATAAAACGAATTTAGCGGAAATCTGAATTATAATGATGCGAATTAATGAGGGTACAGTTTATAGAGATAAATTACAGTAGCTGCACCTTACAATGTTCACTAATCCTGGTACACTGCTGACAAGTGGTCCATTGACAGACCTCCCTGGTTAAACATGTATGTAGCTCTTGCCAAATTCCCATCTAAGTACTGTACTGTATTTTTCTCTCAGAATATGTCCGCTCTTAATACATCACATAGTCCAATTATTGCCTTTGTCGGTGTTTTGCATGACCATGTTATTACAGTATTATTTTTTTTTTTTTCAGCTTACCCTCTGTCTTAACTTGAGTATCTACTCATTCCACCTGCTTTGAAAATTGTAATATCATGGTTTTACACTACGTATACCAATATGATTTCAAGAGATTTATAAGTAGGTCACTGATGTAAATCATTTCTTACAGCCCATAGGGTTTGCTGTGCTGCTAGTTGGTATGATGCTGTATAATGATGTTGTGATACTGCCAATCCTGAGAAAATATGGATGGCTCAATGATGCCCAGCCAGAAGATGTTGAGCCAGTTCTTGCATCAAGTTCTTCTGAAAGGTGAGCAGTGTTATTCTAAGGTCACTGAATACATAAGGTCACCACCTCCTGCTCTAATTATGTCAGAGATACGAATTTGATATCATAATGATCCTGAATAAATTCACTACGAGATGTTTGCAATAAGATATCCTTAAACAAAATATTTTGACATGATATAATGATGGAGATTCTATTCTTTTTATAAAATTTTTAAAATGTTGATACCAGAGTCAGTGAAATCAATTTTAATTAAGTTAGGCACACTAATTTTTTCCCAAATAATCCTGAATACTTTATCTAAAGGTTTGGTTAAATAAATATTAAAAAAAAAAAATCTGTATGATACAGGCATGAATGAAGCTGTGTGCTACACAAGAACTGGTATTTTCCACTCTTCACAGGAAAATTTTTCCGAGTCTTAACAAGAGCATCTCACAGGAGCTCTATTTATTTACGTAAACACCACTGTACTCGTACAATATTAATAACACTACTGTAAACAAGTATTGTATACTGCTACTATACAGTACTGTACTCATCAGCATATGTTGTCAGCTTTAGCCAAGAGCAGGCAGATACTATTCACTCAGCTGAATGTAATATGTAACTGGAATCACGTTTTAACACTTGCAATGGAGGTTGGGTGGGGGATTATTGGGTCTTGTTACTGACCTGACCTGATGCACGTCAAGTCACCCATTGTTGGGGTGGGGGATTAGTGGGTCTCATGACCTGAATTTATCTTGAATGTTGGCTAATGCTAAGGTACTGTGTTGTTTCACTTACGTGAATGTAATTATGTATTGTAATTATAATTCTTTTTTATTTTAATTCTGCTTAACACTGTATTCTTGGGTTTTTTTTTAGTAGCCCTCCATCTTGTATTGCTTTCATCCTCGGTGTAGTTTGGGTTCCGTGTTGGTCCTCTTCGCTTATTCATTTGTTGGGGTTTTAATGGAGCTCTGTAAGCATGTCTGTTGATGTGGGGGCTACACAGCAGATTTTTCATTTGGGTTTTACTCGGCCTTATACCTACCAGGTTAATCTGTAAAGCAGCGGTTGGTGGGCTGGGCATGTCCACATGCCAGTGGGCCAATGTGCCAATTCTCTTGGGGTCCATTGTTGCCCTGAGATTCCTGCTGGTCTAGCCTGGGGGTGCAAGGCACCCAGTTACCGTGTTGCCATGAGGTACGGCAGGAGTCTTGATAGTGAAGTGGTTGTGTCCTAATAAGGAAGACTTACGTAAGGCTGCTTCCATGAGATCTAGCCAGCGGCGGTAGCTGAAAATGAGAGGAAGTATTACACCACCCTGTGTGCACACACACAGTAAAACCTGTCGTCGGACTTCAATACAGTAAAGCCTCGAATACTTGACGTTAATGTGTCCTCCAATATTGGAGTGTAAGGTGAACCGTCTTATCATGAATCATTAATTATCATTAAAATAAAGCAACAATAATGAGATGCATATCCCTTTTCATATCTTTTGTGTGGCTTTTTACCCTTTTTTCCCCCAAAGCAAAACAATTAATGAAAATTTCAAACTATATTCTTTAAATAACGTTTCTGAATTGCTTATACAATATACAGTAAATGAATAATAATATGATCACACAAGAGGAGATGGGATGCCATTGTTTTTGTTTGCATTTACTGCCAGGAGTCCGAGACGATAGTTCTACATGAGAAAATTAAGAAAATAAGACCCTGGTTGTAGCTGTGGTAAAATTAATGTAAAATAATTAATATATATGTTTCAAGTAACGTTTTTTTATGTTAATAAATGGAACTATAGAAGTAGCTAACCACTAATGGACAAAAAAAAAAGAGATGGATTGGAAATGCCAACATATATGTGCGCATTTAAGGATACTGCGTCATTATCTTTTTAAGAATGTGTTCAAAAGATTCATTATTGTTTATTACTGAATATGTATTTGATTGAATTAATCTTTATATGTGCAAAATGAACAATACAATTCATTAATAATACGTAGAATATTAAAACACACAAGGGGATAAGAGACGGCATTGTTGTCAGTGTTTACACCCATAATGTCAGTTATCACGAAACTGAAAGAAAATAAGACCCTGGTTGTTGTAGTAAAATTAATGTAAAAAATATGTATGTTTTAATTAATGTATTTAATGTACAGTAGAAGTAACCACTGATATTAAAGAAAAAGTGAGACTGATAGTGGAATGCCAATGTATACGTGTTGCACTCAAGGAAACATAGTCATTTATCTTAAGAATATGTACAAAAGATTCATTATTGTTTATTACTGAATATGTATTCGATTGAATTACTGTTTGTATATGTGAAATGAACAATGCAATTCATTAATACATAGAATATTTAAACACACAAGACGTACAAGACTGCATTGTTTTTGGGGTGACAATGGTTCACCATAAGAAACTGAAGAAAATAAAACCCTAGGTTGTAGCTGTAGTGACTAATTTTAAAAATTGAATACCTGTACAGTCAGTTCTGCTATAACGCGATAGTTGTGTTCTTGTAAAACATCGTGTTATAGAAATTCGCGTAATAGAAATAACAGGGCTTATGGAGAAAATAGGGTTGGGTGCAGATTACTCCAAATCGAAAAAAATTTAGTAGTTAGCCTAACACAAAGGATAGCACAGTCTAAACAAATGTTACATTCATATCTAATAATGAAATCATACAGTAAATGTTACACTTTACCTTGAAAAAATATGAATATAACTTGATGGGGGAGAAGGTTGATGTTGAGGTTGAGGAGTCATGCAGACAGGAGTTGAGAGTTGTCATCGTCATCATCATCAGGTGCAGTTTTCTTTAGGTCCTCATATATTGATAAGGCTTTCTCTTTAATGGTGAGGAAGCTGGTCCCAGATCGCTTTTTCGTTTGATCTTCTATCCAAACACTTAGAAGCCATTCCATCTCAAGTTCCTTTGGCCGTGATCTCACACTTTTTGCTCGCACTCAAGGTTTTTCCAGCAATACAGCTTGCTTTAATCTTTGCTGCATTGTCTCTAATGGTGCATAAAGTAGACTCCTTTATTCCCGTTGCACGCACAATATCACATGTTCTTTCCTTATTTTCAAAACAATTGACAACATCAAGCTTTTCTTCAAGTGTTATAGCCTTTCTTTTACGATCACCACAGGAAATGCGATCACCAGAACGCTTCCCGGAGATGATATTCTTTTCCATAGTCACAAAATTGGAGAAACAGTAATCAGAAATCACTGAGGACACTTAAAAACTTCACACGTGTTTCAAACTGATCATGTGGTGTAAGCAGAGCGCACGGGTCTAAAACACTACGTATTTTGTTTTTCTCTCTTATTTAAAATTTTACAATTTACATATACTGTACTGTACACGTATACTGTATACATAAATATTACATAAATTATTTCTGCAATTGTTCACAAACAAAACCGTAAATCAATTGAACATGTGATGTCGAACGTGAACTGTAAACACTGCATAACCCCGCGCCAAGCCACAACACTGTACAGTACACTTTAAACGCTACGTATTTAGTTTTTCTCTTTTATTTAAATTTTTACAATTTACATATATATATATATATATATATATATATATATATATATATATATATATATATATATATATATATATATATATATATATATATATATATATATATATATATATATATATATATATATATATATATATATATATATATATATATATATATATATATATATATATATATATATATATATATATATATATATATATATATATATATATATATATATATATATATATATATATATATATATATATATATATACTGTATAAGTAAATTGTAATTTACATATTATTCATATTATGCTACAGCGCCCACAAAACATGAGAAACGTTTGAGTCCCCCAGTAGAGATGTTCGTTCTCTATCCACTTCAGGATGTCTTAGTCCTCCGTTTTCTTTTTGTGTACTCGCTCAGGGACTCAAGTATTTCTGTATATAACACAGGATGATAAGGGAATTTTAAATTATGAGTGAATGAATTTATTATACAGTGATCAATTAACATAGTTTTGATGTGTTTAAGTAGTATTCAGGCACCTTTAGCCTAGTAATGTTACGACATTTGTATCACTCACTCCAAACCATGAATTCCATCCATACAGAGGGAGAGAGAGGCCAAGGGCTCTGTTTACATCACACACACATAAATATTACATAAATAATTTCTGCAATTCTTCACAAACAAAACACATAAATCAATTGAACATGTGATGTCGAACGTGAACTGTAAACAGTGTGTGTGATGTAAACAGCGCGGGTGTAAAACGCTACGTAATTTGATTTTCTTTTTTATTTAAAATTTTACAATTTACATATACTGTACACGTATACTGTATACATAAATATTACATAAATTATTTCTGCAATTCTTCACAAACAAAACACATAACTCAATTGAACATGTGATGTCGAACGTGAACTGTAAACACTGCATAACCCCGCGCCAAGCCATAACAACCGTTCGAGTGGAATCGCGATAGAGCAAACGCGTTCGCATTTTACAAATATTGTTCCTCTATTCATCAATCGCGTTAGAGCCAGTTCGTGTTGTCAAAACACGCGTTATAGCAGAACTCACTGTATGTATGTTTTAAGTAATGATATTTAATGTTAATAAATGGAACACTAGAAGTAGCTAACCACTAATGGTAAATAGATAAAGCGAGACGATTGGGAACTCCAACATATGAACAGTAGGTGCGTACATGTGAAAACATATCATCATTTCTCTACATATGAATATGAAAGCAACACTTATTTACTGTTCATATATGTTTTAAATAATATTTACGAATGTAAAACAAAATTCTACTCACCAATGGTGGAAAAGTCTAAAACATAAGGACAGGCAATGAATATTGTGCAAGCTTTTACTCAGATGACGAAGTCATCAGGTTCAATTCTGCCTGAAGCTGTAGCTTTCCATAAAGCTGTTACTGAAACTGTTACTGAACCTGAAGTTGATGTTGAAGCTGCATATGATGCTGAATTTGATGGTGTAGCTGAAGTTGATGGTTTAGGCCATCGAATAATAAAGCTGTCGAAAGAACCTTGCACAGCTGCTTTCTTTTCTCATTATACATCTTTATGTAGAGGTCACATGCGTTTATTAAAATTTTAATGCTTTGTTCTGTTAATGGATCCACTTCAGAAAATATGTTCATTGCTTGCTCCATATAATATCCACAGACCTCTCACCTTTTTCATATCGTTTTAACACATCAAGTTTCTTGGCTAAGCTTATACACTTTCTATTAGCTTTTGAAACAACACTACCATCACTTGCTTTCTTGCTCATGTTGAATATGGATGCAAAAATGCTGTAAGAAACCTGAGAGTTTTTCTCCTATTCCTGTTCAGATGCGTGAAAACAAAAGGGCCGCCAAGCTCCGACTGTTGTTTACCACTCATAAGCAAGGCAGCTTCTTTGCGCAAGGCGCTCTTAATTTTTTTTACAGTAATTTTTGTTTTTCTTATACGTAATACATATCGGGATTTAGTTATTATTTATAAATGTAATTTTATTTTATTTTTTATTATATTTTGGTCGTAAATACAATTGAAATAAGGACGTAAATTGAATTGGGTCCTAAATTAACTAGGGTTTGAAATTTGAAAAGTTGTTGGTCGAACCGTTATTATCGGAGACTTTACTGTACAGGTATATTGGAATGTTCTTCTTTTTTGGGGGGGGGACCCTCTGAGGTGCTCCAGATTGCCCCTCTATTAATCAGAAATATTTTTTAAAACTCCAGGAAATCGTGCATTAGTCCGGATAGTTTGTATGTTCAAATAAATGATCTGGGTGTCACACGGCACGTGCCTCACACACTGAGTTCTGCAAACATGAGACCCATTAATCTCTCACCCCTCCTCCATCACAAATTTTTTCCAAAGCACTTTTAACCTTGTCCTGACCAGTATACAGCACATGTACAATTCCTTATTCATGGAGGGAGAGGAGAGTGACATTTAGCAACACCTGCTACAGGAGATGGTACAAGACAAAGGCAGGCCATCCTGTATCATCATACAGTACTGTATCACCATTTGGCTTGCCTGCATCACAAGCTCAAGATGACAGCATCTGCTGCTGAGGACAGTACAGTATTGTATATATAGTACAGTAGTATATTTTGTTTGTTTACCATATTTTGTACATGTACAGTGGTGTTTGCATAAATAGATACAGCTCTGTGTCTCTCCATGTGATATGTGTGGTTTAGACTCTGGGAACTAAACTGCAAAGTTTTTGTTTAAGAGAATCCTTTGTTTTGGGCATTGTTTATGCTGGTGTATCAACTTCCGTCTTCGAAAGCGAACTGATCGCTTCACCCGTGTCAGTGTCACCTGCGATTATGACATCGGACAACCCTTGAATTAGTGATGCTTCACTGAGCATGACAAGAGATACCTACCACTAATGTGCCAGGCGTAGTGAGCCAAGAATAGGCATATACTGTATTGTAAAAAAGAGTCTTTCTCCCATACAATCGTACTAATCGCAAAGAAATAATTTGTTCACCTTTTATTTTACAAATAACACAAAACACTAAAATAAGGCATTATAGGCATAATTCAACAAAATAGGCAATAAAGTACAGTATTTCACTCACATGACAAAAAAAGCAAATATAAGCATATATGGCATTTTGCCTGAACAACCAGGCTATATATACTGTATTACATAAACAGTTACTTCCTGGCTGGCTGGGTGGTCACCTATTCGTCTATGTAAACAATGCATCAGGTAATTTAATACGATATAACTTCTGTGGGGTAGAGTGTGGGATTATTTTTTGGGGGGAAAACCAATTAATTTACAATTATATTTTATTAACCTGTCACTAAATGAACCAAAATAATGTGGGAATTATGGTGAAATTACATAGTTTTGTTTTAAGGAAGCCACAGGGCTAGATGGTCGAATTTTCCACTCAGTCCAGCCAGCAGCAACCCACCTTTCCTACCTTCCACACACTTAATTAACTTCCCATACCTCACTATTCTTATTTTATAGTTTTATATTATATTTTCTTTATTTCCAAAATGACAACATTAGAGCATTGTATTATGGTACAGTACACTGCATTATATTTTAATATTTGAGGAAGGGCTCGGTATATCGCAAAATCGTTCAGAAAAGAGAAGTACTACTGGAATCTGAGGAGCAGTTCGATATAGAGATAATACTGTATGCTGCTGCTCTTCTGGGAAAAGGCTCTTTCCCTCATAGTGATTGTTTTGAGATGTCCTATTTTTTTTTTGAAAGGGTCTTCATTTCTCAATGATATTATATTGACACTTCAACCAATTTGTTTCAGATTAAAAGAAATGTGCTATAATGTTTTGCTGCCTGTTTCTCACCTTTTGACCTTTGCACACCTAACTCATACTTTCAACTGTACACTTTCCACTTCTGTATCTATACAATATGAGGTTTTCATCTTCTGTGACAACACTGAACAGCTGAAATGTTAGAACATCAATTTCTGTACTATGAGTACAGTATATTCTTTTTTCTCCTTTTATCATCTTTTCCTCCACTTTCGGTAATCTTATCCTTTTCTGAACTTTTCCAATCATTCTTTTCATGTAATAAGTGCTGAGACTAAAAATTTTCCTTATGCTTCTATTTTACAATCAGTTGAGTCCTCTCTTTAAACCCAGTCACACAGTACATCTTCACAAGCAAACAAGGCATCTTAGTTTTCTTAATGTAATACATTTTCTGGCTAATGAGTACAGTACTTCACTTCTTCCATTCTTTAACTCTTTCAAAAAATTTATTGGTTCGTGTCTAACATGAGAGAATTTGCCTCGTGTCTTTTTTCTGTCAAGGTGTATACGTATATAATAGGTCATAATTTCTTAGTAAAAGTTTGGATTGAGCTGGTCCAAGGTAAGGATTTTATTTTGTTTTACAAAAGACTACATTAATTAATCTTACTTTATTGTCTTGAAAAATATTAAAATGTTATCATCTTTCAGAACAACAGAATCTGTGGAGAAGGACGGCATTGATAACCCTAATGCTACAGTAGAACCTTTATAAGTGAAGAGTGTAGTATTTAGTGTTAGATACCAACCGGTCTTGGTGAGGCTACTTTACCTGTGTAAGCAATAATAGAAGCTTCTTCCTTCTTTTATCAACATCAGTTTCAATATAAAATGCAATTGAGAAAAAATTTTTGTTTGCCTTAAATAGTATTCATGCACTGTAATTTGTATTTTATTATTATTATTATTATTATTATTATTATTATTATTATTACAGTAATCCCCCAGGTTGCGAAAGAGATGCGTCCTAGAAAAGTTAACTGTAACATGAAATTCCGTAATGTGAACCCCATTTTCCCATTGACGTCCATTATATAATTAGAGATGCATTCCTCAGTAAATTAAAAAAACAAAACATTTATACGTTACTCATACGTGTCTTACGCTTGGGTCTCGTTCTTGCATGAGCCAACCCACCCAGCATCTCTCTAGCTCAGTGTGTTTATCACTCGTCTGTGATCGTCAGAGAAAAAGATAAATAAAATCATTACAGTACTCTAATGTAACTTAGAAATAAAGAAAATATAGTATAACACTATAAAATAAGAAAATGAAGCACATGGGTGTGCATGTGTGGGAAGTGAACATGTGTGGAAGAGATGGGCTATAATTGCATCGCCGACTCGTCAGCCAAGTCTCTGCGTTTATTGTTACATATATTGAAACAAAAAAAAGTTATTGAAAAATAATTACAATGCAGTTCTATAATGTGGCTTATAAATAAAGAAAATAGAATATATAACAATAAAATAAGAAAAATGAAAAGCATGGGTGTGATGTTTGGGAAGTGACCATTTGTATGTGGAGGCAGAGAGCTGTAACTGCGTAGCCGACTCACCAGTTTGCCTCCCTTCCTCCGACCCCCTATGTAAATGTGAGGAATAAATCAATTTAATACTGTACACAAAACACTTGAATTTAACTCACCAGAAAAGATGTTGAATACTGTGTGAGGCGAGTTTTACATCCAATGTAATTCCTTTATGGGCACTTTTAGCATCACTGCTCTCAACTTGCACCTGATGGCCTATTTCCACTAATCTTGAATAAGGTTAATACACTGGACAGTCTTGAGTAAGATATGCATGTAAGTGTTAAATCCAAGAGCTGGGGTCTAGATCAAGCGTACACGCTGGGAGATAACAACACACTGATTCGACGTGGGTACCCACGCTTGGTGGTAGCAAACTCCAAGAAATGCACACCAAATAAATTATAATTTGTCAAAACATTTTTGTTCTGTATTACAATTTTTTAGTTGAAATTTTTGAAAATTTACCCTCTTTCCATAAGGTCGAATTTACAGTCCGTATCATAAATTTAGTGGTCATAATTTACAAATTGCATACAGTGGTCCCTCGGTTAACGAACACAATTCATTCCAGAAGGTCGTTCGTTAACCGAATCCATTGTTTCAATGGGATATTGGGTAAATTGGTTCCAGCTCACTGAAAAGTACATATAATGTAAAATAAAACTGCAGTAAAGTACACTTACTTTGAGGTGTGTATGTAGAAGGCTCCTGTTTGATGATGATGATGCGAATTAGAAGTGGGGGTGGAGAAGGGAGAAGAGAAGGAAGTGGTATGGAGGAAAATTCACCTTCTTTGGACCCATGCTTCATGCCTCATTTCACCAATAAAATTTTAAGTTCACTAGGTGTAATTCAAGATTTTTTCTTTAAATCAACACTGCACTGTGCTATATGTTAACTGAAGTTTAGAATGACCAATAATTTCGATGAAAAATGCAAAAATATTCACGACACCAATAAAATAGGTGCTCTCTCCACAGAAAACAAAGCCAGACTGACGCCTGGTGACCGACCCAAGCATCTGATGGGTGCACAAAAAAATAGTTCCCTGTACTGCATATTTTATCAATATGTTAAATAAATGTTAAAATGACTAATAATTTTAATATAAAACATTCAAAAATATTAAAAAGCTGAAATTTATTAATATTTAATCCATTGAAAACGAATTTAAACTTAGAACAGATAGAATTGGCAGACTGGGCCATCAGCTGACCAGCTGATGCTCACAACAAAAATTGATTTTCATAAGGATTTCGTAAATCAAATTTTTGTTCGTTAACCGAATTGAAGATTCTTATGGAAGGTAATTCGTTAACCGAGGCGTTCGTTAACCAAGGGACCACTATATTAGTGAATTTCTCCAACCTGAGTTTCCGTAATGTGGGGGATACCTGTATTATTATTATTTACACTATTTCATGAGTTTATTTTATATTTTATTGTCAATATTCATGATTTCTTTTTCTTTTTTTACCCACTTTAAGCTGTTTAAGGACTATTTTCTTTTAGTTGTTGAAAATTTGAAAAATGTTTAAAAATGTTAGTAAAATGTGGTTTGAATGGTAACTTCGGGTAAGTTAATGCATTTATTATCGGTAAATTCTTTCTTTGTAATTTAATAAAAAATTATTGGGAAACAAGGATATATCACTGACATATAGATTTATTAGTCACAAAGCATTCATGTAAATAAGTATTGTGTATTTTCCAATTTTGTATACAGTATTTTATAGAAGAAACAAAATACTTACTTGATGATACATTATCGAAATATAACTGGACTTGGGCAAAATGTTATTGAAAGGCAGCTCTTTTATAACATATTTGTTGATAAAAAAATCTTTTCATTAACCACTTGTGTATGGGGTCCCCTCCCTGATGAATAAAATGTTCTGGCATTAGCCAAATAAAATATTATAAGTGGCTCCACCAAAGTGAAGGGGTTCAGTTTAACTAATTTTTTCTCCTGACGCTTAACTCATTAAGCGTCACCAGTATTTATAAACACTGTTTTTACAAATATCCTGCTCTCACTAGGGACATCTTACAGTCGAAATAAGTGAAAATGGGACTAGTGGCAACTGTCCCAACTATCCTAGGCACCCTGATTGGTTAGTTGGGGTGGGGTCCTTGTTATTCTATACAAAAACATTCGTCATGGCAAAATAAATTCGTAAAGTCTTTTAAAATTAAATTTCTTACATAGCTTTCCAGGAGTTTGTGAGTAATGAGAGAAAAGTAAATAAAATATTTATGAATGCAAAATAGAGAAAAATCATTTTACATTCCTATTTGGCTCACTTATCTGAGAGGCTCTGAAGAATTCCTTGAGACCCAGGCACCCATATTGATGCATAGTGGGAAGTTCCAGAGCACAAAATTATGCGTTTTTTCTTTTGCCAACATAATTTACCAATTAATTCAAAGTAAAAATGGTATTTTTTTTTTGGGGAGACCTGAAAGAATGACTTTTAACAGAACTGGTGGATGCTTAATGGGTTAAATGCTGTAAGCAGATAATATGTCAGTTTGCCTGTCATCGGATATACAATATTCTTGATAAGTGAAGTTTATATTTAGCTTTAGTTCAGGGATAAGAATTTTTGGAAATAGAAATATATGTCTACATACAACTGTGAAATGGTACAATATTTAAATACTGTACATGTAGTATTATTAGTTACTTTATATATACAGTAGAACCTCTTTCTGTATATATATACATGCGGAGTTCCTTATACAAATAGTACCTCACTAGTCGGGAATCAAACCCTGGACCTCTGTGTGTGAACAGGGATAGCTACCACAGCACCACAAGGACAACACAAAGTCTGCTCATTCATCTTATTTTTTAAGTAATGTGAGCCTCTAGTGGGGAATGCCCTATCAACCACCTATATTGCTCTCACTAGCCTTGTGGGCTGACAGATGCATCTCTAAGGGTGCAATTTACTGTGGGTCTGGATCATTCTACCCATTGTTTACTAAAATGGAAAAACCGTTCCTGTTACCGACACAACCTGCATCAAAAGACTGAGAGGGGGTGATATTGTAAACGACACTATTTGCATCGAAAGACCGTGAGGGGTTGAAGTTTCCAATCATGGCCTGGAGTACCAGAAGATTAATATAATTGCACACAAGCACTTCTCATGTCCTCATAAATATAATTTAGACCAACTTAATATACTATGAAGAGCATTCAGATGCTGGAAATTTGCCTCTGGTATTTACTGATTCTAAATAATTTTGTCCAGCAGGCAATTTCTTGAACTGCATTTAGAGTACCATATATACTCGTGTGTAGTTCGAGTTTTTAAGACCAAATTTTTAGGCAAAAAATTGGGGGTCGACCTCTACATGGGTAATAGTTTTGTTTGGTTGAATCCGTGCATGATGGAAAGGGTGAGGAGCAACTTTTAGCTTCAGACATGAAAAATATTTACCATTTACTGCCAGTAAACAATGGAAACGTAAATATGTACCAATTAGTAATGAAAAGTTGTGCAGTGCCTTCAGCAGATGAAGCTCACCAACTTACAATAGGCTAAATTACCTTACAACATGCTTTCAGTAGTCTATGTTGAAGTTCTTAGCACAGGCTAACTTATCATATCATATATGGTATCACAGTACTCATTGATCTACAAAAAATACCAGCAATAAAAACCTTTTCAATATTTCACACTTAATATAATACCTGGTAATCCACCTCAACCTCGTATTGTTTACAACGATGCATGACGCACCACCAGCTGTTGAGTATCAGCTAGACGGTACACGTGTTTTTCGAATCGTTTTCAGTTAAAAAACTGTTACATCACTCGCATATTTTATCTTAACTGTGCCTGAATGAATATATTCTCGGAAATAAATAGTAGTTTTGCTGAAACGTGATGTATTTCAATGTGAAATAGGATAAAATACATGAAGGAAACAAAAGACTTTACCTAACCTTCCGATGTTCAAGAGATGTTACTCGTTTTATTAATAGTTTTCGGTTAAAATACTGTTATATTACAATGATATTCTATTCATACTGTGCTTGATATAATACATTCACGGAAATGTAATATTTTTGCTGAAGTGACGTACGTATTACAGTGGAAAGTGGGATAAAATCATGACGAAAACAATCGACTTTCGTTGTTCAAAAGATGTTACTGTAATCGCTTTTTGAATGGTTTTCAGTTAAAACCTGTTTCATTACAATAATATTCCCTCCTAATTGACTTGAATATATACTTGAATGGAAATATACAATATTTTTGCTGAAACTACCCGCGTTTCAGTGTAAAGTGTCGTAATAATGGTAAACAATTTGCCTTCGGCACTCGGTTTTTCAGGCACGGCGACCCTCAGTTTATAGGACGTAGAGTGTTTTTAGTGAA